GCCCGTCAGTCACCGCATTGCCACGGCGACGGGAGCCCCGCCCCCGGTTGCCCTGGCGGCGCCTGGACCTGCCTAGCTCCCTAGAACGGAAGTTGCCCGCCAAGGCTTCTGGTAAATGTAGTCCAGGAATCTCCGCGAGGCCCGGCTGGCTGGACGATGGTCCAACTTCCTCCCAGGGTTTTGGGGTTGACCTGGGACCTAGAGGAGCGGAGAGTTGGCTCACAGAGTCAGGCGGCCTCCGAAACCGATTCCACACCCTTAATGAACAGATTCCTGCACAAAGCCCGCGCCGAACAGCTGCAGGAGCAGCGGAGTGAGCGGGGGTGCCGGTCGTCCTTATTGGCAGGTGACACATTCACGGAGACCAGCCTCCGGTCCGTGGTCGCAGGGCTGGTGTGGGCCCCGGGAAGCTCCCCTCTCACCTCCCGCGTCCACCTGTGGGGAACCTGGGGAGGCCGTGATTTGCACGGCGTGATAAGCAGGGTTCAGAGGAGGGAGCTGAATTGGGGGCTGAGCCACACGGGTGACTTGGCACAGGTGCTGGGGGCGACAGGTGCAGGGAGACCGCCCTGTGGAACCAAGATGGCAGGGGAGTGGTCTGAGACAGGTGGAAGAGGGGGTGGTGCAATGATGGGCTGGCTAGGGGGCGGTAATGGGGCTGATGCCCGGGGTGGTGGGCGTTGGTGACAATCACCTGTGAGAGGGAGAGCTGCAGGGCAAGGATGAGGTGATATACATAGAAAGAGAGCAGAATTGCCCTGACCGGTTTGGCTCAGTGGATAGAGCATCGGCCTGTGGAGATGCTCAAGAGCATGTACCTTTGTTGCAGGCACATCCCCAGTAGAGGGTGTGCAGGAGGCAGCTGTTCTGATGTTTCTATCCCTCTCCCTCTCTGTACAAAAATCAATAAAAAAAAATTTTTTTAAAAAGGAAAGAGAGCAGAATTTAGGGGAGAGAAGAGGTGACTTCTGAGCCTAAGAATTCTTTGGGGCTGAGGGTGACCAGAGATTCTGCAGGCCCAGCTAGAGAGGCCGGGAACTGGTGGCTCCTCCACGGCCTGTGATCACCTCCCTGAGCCTCAGTGTCCTATCGGCCTTCCCCCAGGCAGGACTGAGGATGGGACAGCGCCGCATACAGTCGGCACTCAATAAGCATTCACTCCATTGTCATTGCAGCAGCCTCACCACATCCGTCCCCAGGGTGAGCAGTAGCCTCGGGGCCAAGCCATCTTTCTGATGAGGCCGGCAGCACTGTGCTCCCCGGGGCACACAGCCCCGGAGGACGAGAGCCCCATCGTGGTGAAGCTGGAGGAGGAGGAGGAGGAGGAGGCCACCCCATGGGATCCCGGCCCAGAGGCTGCGTGCTGGTGTTTCTGGCACTTCCGCTACGAGGAGGCAGCAGGGCCCGGAGAGGCCCTGGACCTGCTCCGGAAGCTGTGCCGCCAGTGGCTGCGGCCGGAGGTGCACTCCAAGGAGCAGATGCTGGAGCTGCTGGTGCTGGAGCAGTTCCTGAGCACGCTGCCCCCCAAGATCCAGGCCCGAGTGCGAGGGCAGCGGCCGGGCAGCCCCGAGGAGGCCGTGGCCCTGGTGGAGGGGCTGCGTCGGGAGCCAGGAGGACCCCGGAGATGGGTGAGTCGGTTGCCGTGAACATAACATGGGGCGTGCCGTGCTCAGCTGGACACGGGTCCCATGCGGGGTCATGGACACAGGGAGGGATGCAGGGCGGGTATCGACACAGGACACCCCCTGCGCATTCCCCGGGGGACGGGTTCCCTGAAGGACCTGCTTAGTCCAGACCTTGAAGTCCTGCACTGGGGTCCAGCCCCAGCTCCCGGCCTGGGCCCCTAATGAGACGGGGCCCCTCCCCAGGTCACAGTCCAGGTGCAGGGGCAGGAGGTGCTGTCAGAGAAGGTGGAGCCCTCCGACTTCCAGCCCCTCCCGCAAACCAAGCCTCAGACTACGGAGCCTGGGCCTGAGACAGAGGTCACCACGCCGAGGTCGCCACCGAGCCCTCAGGTGAAAAAGGAGCCCGAGGACCCAGCTGAGGACAGGCAAGGTAGGCAGGGCCCAAGGCCGCACTGGATGGACCTGGGAGCTGGGCCTGGACATCCTGAAGCCACTGGGCCAGGCACCTAATGGGTGGGCCATGGCCATGCACTCCCAGCCAAGCCTGACTGTCAGTTGTCTCCATGCTCTCCCCTGGCATGAGACGAGCTGCTGGGGTGTCCACGTGGGGGAGGCATGCGGGGTTCCCTCCGCAAGGAGATCCATTGAGGGACGTCAGCCGGTCACAGGAGATGCGACAGCAGGCTGGGGGGTATGGGTGGGTGCAGATGAGGGAGGACCCCAAAGTGCTGGGGGCCTGACCCTCCCGGGCACACCTCCCGGGCAGGTGCCACAGCTGGCCGCCCACTCCACCACTCCTGTGGTCCCTTGGGCAGTGCCCCCCTCCCACCCTCACCGTCTGTATGCCCAGATCTCACGCAGGCGTGCAGGGCACAGACCTGAGCCGCCTCCTCCTGGGCCTTCCAGGGGCCCCTGGAGCTACTCTGCAACCATCTCTCCCCACCTGGATCGCAGTACCCAGAGTGCCACTGGGGAGAGTCGTGGGGTGGGAACCGTGGGACCCCTCACCCCATCCCTCCCCTCCAGAGTTTCTGGATTCTGAGGCTCCGGTCAACCCCCAGGAGGCTGCTTCCACTCTCCTGCCTGAGGCCCAGGTGAGCCCCACAGGCCAGGAGCCTCATGGGTGGAGGTTGGGAGGTCCCTCCCTCGGCCTCGTGGGACAAGACGAGCCGTGACCACTGTGGTTTCAGGACTGTGGGATGTTGCTGGACCAGGCCTCTCCCCACAGCAAGACTGAGCCTGAGGGCTCCTCGTGGAGGGAACACCGTGGGGCCCCGTGGGAAGAGGAAGCTGAGGGCATCCCCTCCCCAGGTGAGTGAAGATGGGCACGGTAGGGCGGGCCCTGTGTGGGCAGAAACCTATCCGCCTATCCCATTCCTAGCCCTGCTCCCCACTCCCTGGACCATCCCTCGCAGCATCAGCCTTCAGCATCTCCAAGCCTCAAAAGCCTGCTCTCCCCTGACCGCACGCCCCTCCATCCAGCTGCTCCCCCACCTCAGTGACACCTCCAAGACCCAGCCTCTGTTCCCCAGCCCACACCTCCTGGCTCTGGCATCCCCTGGCCCAACTGGAGTGTCGGCACAGGGAGGGTCAGGAATGGCAAGGACAGGTTAGCAGACGGGGCCGGCAGCACAGCGGGGGTCACACCATCTCCCAGGTGTCCGCTGGGCACTCAGCCCGAGGCTGGCCGTCACCAGGTCCTGGTCTCTCTTCCTGTTTCCGTGACCCCTCCTTCCTGGTTCCTTCCCGTATTCTCAGACCTCGCTCTGAACTCTGGTGTGGGACTTAAGTAGCGTTCGGAGACACACCCGTCCACACGCCCCATCACACGGGAGCTTGCCCGGATAAAGGATTCGTTTTATTAACGCGCTCACAGGTTTCTGAATCACATGTTGGTGAGCCTGACCCATCGGAAAAGCACATTCGATCGTGGGACTGGCTGGAATGGTTTCTTTGATTTCCTTCTCATTGTTTCATTCCGATTCTAACGTTCTTCTCACTCTAACCCGTCCCTTTCTTTGTATTCTGTCATCCAGAGTTCCTCACTGACGTCTTCCAGACCCTCCGTGGAGACGCTCATATCTGCTCGTTGGTTTTAACTTCCAGGAGGTTCCATTCCCTGAGCTTTCGTTTTTATAGCCACTTCCTGCTGTCCTCACAGTTACAATGTCTTTATTTCTCTGAGAATAGCAGTAACTTGTTCTAGGTTTTCTTCTCCCAATATGGTCTCTGTTCCCTCCAAGTCATCTGCTTACGTTTAAGACGGGGACCACCAATCTGAGCAGGTGGGTGAGGGGCTGGGAAGGACATGGAGGCATCACTCCCCAAGACCTACATCTTAGGGGATGTGAGTGGAGAGAGGGGGTGTCTGTGGGTGCCAGTGACGGATCTGTCGGGTACTCTGGCTGGTTTGGGGCACCCGAGCCCCCAGGAAGGCACTTCCAGCCTTCTGCCAGTATCCTGGAGAGGCTGCTGCTCAGCACACAGTGTGACTTCACTTAACCCCTTAACTTCCTCAGTTGGTCTCCTGCCTCAACCAGCCTTTGGCCAAGATGGGAGGAGACCCAGAATCCAAGCGACAGCAGAGCCCGCTGTCCGCTCAGCAGCCTGTGCAGAGCCTAGAGCTGGCCCTTGCCCTTGCCCTGCCCAGCTGCTATCAGTCTCCCTGACCTGCAGGCACCCCTCACCCTGCACGGCCAGGTGTGCCTGGTACCTCCGACTCCTGAACTTTCTGAATCTTCTTTGGGGTAAAACAGCTTGATTTTGTTTGTTCCCCCACTGCTGACTGGGTGTTCGCCTTCTCCAGTCTCTACAGTCATCTGCCCCTTGGCTTTCCAGAGGACAGAAGTCAGCGGTGTTTCCTTTTCTCTTCATCTTTGGGGATGTGATGCCTTAAAAGAAAAACAAAAAGGATGTTATTGTTGTCTTACAGCTGTTTCAGGATGGAGCAGATTTAAATTGTTTTCCACTCGTCCCCGTCTGCTGTCACCAGTAAGGGTCCTAACTCACTCTTCTTTCATGTCTTTGTTTCAGAGATGCTGGTCCCCCTCTGAGGCTTTGGAATAATTTAGCTTCCTCCCCAGACTGGTTAGGTAGCTCGGTGTGCTGGGCTGGGTTCTCCCACTGGCTGCACGGTTGGCAGCCTGCCCGTCTGGGCTGTAGGAGCTCGCTCGTCCCTGCCCTCAGCCTCGTCATGGGTGAGGGGCGGCCACGGGGCCCATCGAAACGATGCCATGAAGGTGCACCCAGGCCCCAGGCCATCCAGGGCGCTCCCTCTGCAGCCCAGGTCTGTGGGTGGCCGGGGCCGACCCACCCCGGACCCTCAGCCCAGGCTCTATAGCTCACCGCCAGCTGTGGATCCTGGGTCTCACCAGCCGGCCTTTCTTACTTGGGCGCTGCCCACGGTGTTCTTAAGTCACGTTCTGTGTTTTGGAGCCGAGAGCAGGATCGGGCGCCTGCCCTCACTGCTGTTGAATTCTCAGCTGCCAGCGAGGCCCAGCCTGTGCCACGCGGCTGGCTCCCCCTCTAGCTGGGCCTGCTCCTCAGCTCACCACCGTCTTCCCAGCCCACCGGCAGCACCACCTCACAGCTCCATTCTCTCCTCAGGCTGCACCCCCTAGACAGCCGCAGCGCCCGCCTGCAAACCGGTCCCTCAGCCACCTGGTCCCCCCATCAGCCTCCTGGCTGCTCCCGGCATCTCCTGGGAGTGTCCTCTGTGTGGCCAGCATCTTCACCATGAGAATGTTCCAAGTAACTCACACGTTACAAAGTTCAAAGGGCAGAGGGAGTCCTCAGTGAGCCCCTCCTACCTGTCACAGCCTGCTCCCCCGCAGCCAGCGTGAGGTGTCCTCCAGAGCGCGGCATACAGGAGCAAACACGCTCAAATGCACTGCTCCACGCCTGGCATCGCGTGCAGCCAGGGCCGTCCTTGGACAGCCGCAGAGCCCCACTGTGCGCACTGCGTCCGTCCAGGCTCCCTCTGGCGTTTGGGTTACTTTCCAGTGATGGCCCGAGAAACCAAGTACGTAGGTCACTTCACGGGGGGAACACAGCTGCCAGACCACAGTGGGGGGAAGGTGCCATCTGACGTCTCCTGCAATACGGGCTTCCCGTCTATGTCCACCAGCAGTGCACACAGAGGCCTGGTCTGCAGTGAGGGTGGGAGACCGTGGGTGCGTGCAGCTCTTAGGTACAGAAGGGACTACGTGTATTTTGTGGGATTTCAGTGTTCGTCACGTTTCCTTCCCTGTTGCCATCCTTTGCCCACGAGGATCAGGTTGTCGGTCGTTCGTGTCAGTTTACTAGAATTCTTGGATTAATTAGACCTTTGCCTCTGCGGTTTCTGATTCTCGTTTATTTTTTACTCTTAAGTAGCTTTTGCTGTGCACAGTCATCTCCTTTTATGCCCTTTGATAACTTAGGGTTTTCCTGCTGCCGTTGAAGCCGCTGCGAAGCGGTCTCCTCCGATCTGACCTCCTCTGGGCTTCCTCTTCTCCGGCCCTGCTGCTCAGTGGCCTTTGCTTGCACCAGGCCAGTCGCCCAGCATCTCCTGCTCTTCAGACACCTCTCCACGCCCCCGTCCGATCTCATGCAGGCCCAGGGCTCCCTATGCCGTGCACAGGTCGCAGCACAAACATTCAGGTTCCCACAAAGACAGCCCCGACCCCTGCACCCACAGCCTGCAGCACCCACTGCCCCTCACAGGCCCACTCAGCTCTGTGCTTTCTGAAGGCACTCTCGCCCACCCGACGGTGCAGCGCCGCCTTGCACCACAGCCCTTCCAGAAAGGTGATGATTGCAGACTGAAGTAAGACCCGGAAGGCTTGTCCGGCTTCTCAGTCTTCCTCCTCATGCAAGATCCGTCCCCTTGTCGCTCCCTGGGGAAGCTGCACAGATACAGTCCCTGCCCCGGCCCGGCCCTCTGTTTGCCTCCTTGGTCAGTCAGGAGCCTCCAGTTCACACTGTGGACCCAGGGCTGGGATGCCCCGGGCACAGCGGGCTGGCACTGAGCGGGTCCCCTTGTGCAATACAGGGTCTGCCGGCCCGGGCGCTGCGAGCCAACGCCAGTCACGCTCCCGACAAGGTGGCTCCTCGCATGC